ATGCTGTAGATCAGGCCCGTTCCACGCTGGATCAGTACGTTTGCTGAACAGCTACAAAAGATAGCGGAAATGGGAAAGGAGAAGAACATGCAATAACTCAGCTCAAATCATGCATCAGTCGCGGGCCGTGGGCTGCTATCGTGGTCAAAGAGGCCGAAACAGGGGTCATAGGCCACACCCGAGTCATGTAGCAACCCACGAGAAGGCCTGCCGCTGTGGGCACCCGAAACAAGGCCTGGAAACTGGCCTTCAGAGGCCCAACCTGCTACAGTGAACCTAAGAAAGGCAACAGTCCACAGCAGCTCGGAAATTCAGATTCACGAGTCCAAGCCAACGCGGACCCGGTCCAGGCCGTCGATCAGACACACACCTTTGGCCGTTTGCAGGTATTCGGGGTCATAGGCCACGCCCGAGTCATTTAACAACCCACGAGAAGGTCTGCCGCTGTGGGCACCCGAAACAAGGCCTGGAAACTGGCCTTCAGAGGCCCAATGTGCGACAATGGACCGAAGAAAGGCAACAGTCCACAGCAGCTCGGAAATTCAGATTCACGATTCAAAGTCAACACGGACCCGGTCCAGGCCGTCGATCAGACACACCCCTTTGGCTGTTTGCAGGTATTCGTAAGGGATCGAGACCAGGTGGAAATCTGCAACTGTAAGGGATCCAAGCCATTGGCTGCAAAGTAATCTGGGTCGTCGTATCCAAGAGACCAGAGGCTGGTCAACCTCGACCCAACACTATAAGTTGACCCAGCCCCAGTTGGCCGACATTCAGTCTTGCACTTGCTGCTCGACGCTGGCTGGATGCTAGCTCTACGCTGGCACAACGCTTGCTCGTCGCTGGCTCTGCGCCGGTTTGACATTGGATGACGATGCGAGACTGATCTGCGATTACTTGATGCTGGCACCCTCTCTGTCTTTGGCGCCAGCTGGACCAAAGACCATGCTGACGTGGCATTGGGCACTCTGTCTACAAGATTGATGAGACATCGGCGAGGAGGAGGAGGATCAGGGCTGTGAGATTGTGAGAAGCTTACCTGTCTGCGATCGAGCGTTGTTGCGCATTGCTGTTCGTCTTCAGATGCTGTCTGTGCTGGCAAGCGCTATGACGAGACCTGCTCTTTGTCAGATTGTGTCAGAGGGGACTGTCTGCTGATGTGGCAAAGGGACATGCCCAAAGGAGAAGGGGGTTCTGAGGGAGACCTATCTGCTAAGCTGATGGTTACTTCTCTTCCACCTTCTAAGTCTCCTGTCCCTCCTCCCATCTTCTTCTCTGGTGAAGTGACATTGGGCTACCTGATTACTTGTACGATTTTTGGAGACATTGTATTTCCGCTGAGACATACTGCATCTTGACATTGACGAGCTTCTCTCCTGACTGGGTTCATTGCAATTTGGTATCGGGGCGATATCCTCCATCCGTCGCTACCTGCTGATGATCGCGGTATCGCGCGGCGGTATTGCAACCGCACGCTCACATGCGCGCTCCACGTGCCTTGGAATATCTCATTTCACCCGTGCACGTTGTTGATTATCGCACGACTACGCGCGCCTGTTTGGTACGGGCTGCTAATTGATTTTGTCGTGCGCGCGCATATGTATTCAATGATGATGATGATGACACGGTGATGACATGGACTTAATGCGTTGGCAAGATATTGCTGACGTGGCGCTAGGTGACCGGTGAGGTTGAGAGAGAGGAAGTTGCTTACCTGGTATCGGGGAATTGCCGCTGGCGTGGCACCTAAGAAGAAGAAGCAGGTTGTAGGGTGACGTGGCACTTACCTGTGTTGCGACCTACCTGTTGACGTGGCGACGCTGAAGTCGCAGCTGCACACCAGATTGTCATGGCATTTTAAAATGACGACCAAGTGATCACATGTGGATTGGCGGCTCCTTACTGCTTACGTGGCAACAAAGTATCTCCATTCATGACGGCCTGCTGGCCATTGATGCGGACGTGGCACCACTCTCGATGATGTGTCATTTTGGCCCACTTGGAGAATGACGCGTGGCAGATCCGACCTATGCTGCCATCTGCTGAAGACTGGTGGGAACAGTTACTTGCACTTGTGTGTCTGACGGGCGGGTACATCACTAGATTATGTCGTAGTGCCATGCATCAGAACTTGTGCCTGGTCATACAGACATCTGCGTGAGGACAGCGAGAAGAAGCTCAGCTAACATATTGATGATTGTTGTGTGCTGATATGTTGTTGATACTCACTTGTTGTGGGCTGTCTTGTGGATGTTGCAAACTCACCATTGTGTTGTTGTCTTGATCGCACTGGCCGTGGCTGCGGAACCTGTGCACAGACTCTAGGAAAACATCATCAGAAGAGTAATCAGCAGAATTAGATATAGAAAAATCTAGATTCTGTTCCTAATGAATCCCTATACCCTTAAAAGATACAGCGGTTCCACCGACAGACGCCGCCATGGGCCCACGAGAAACCGTGGCGGGGGCCCGTCGTTAGGTGTGCCAGGGAGGGACAGGACCGACACGGGTGCAAAAAACAAGCGCCGCATTCATGCACTCAGACGAAATGATTCGGAAAAGGCCAGCCAGGGGAGAGGGAAGAGGCCGAGGCAAAACGAGGCTGCATCGGAAAAGGTGAGCCAGGGGAGAGGGAAGAGGCGGCGCGGGGTTGGGCATTGGGCGAGGGAGGGTCCGGGCTGGCACCGAACCGCACAGACTGCCGGCGGGTGAGGGGGCGAAGCGTCGGGCGCCAAAGACAGAGAGAGAAGAGAGAGAGAGAGAGAGAGAGAG